AAATATGAATGAAGGTCAAAGTAAAGAGACTGAGATGCACTGTTGTGGATGGTGTGTGGAATGCATTAGAGTTCAAGGAGGTGGGTGGGGGACCCACATGGAAGCCAGGGCTCATCTAGTGTCTAAAGGCCGTGGAAGGCTATAGCTGATGTAGAAAGTTAAAGAAAGCTAAAAAATAGTGTGACCCATTGGGAAGCTCCCAGTTGAGGTCATCAGCATAAATTTTAATGGGGGACATCCAGCCATATGAGTAACTATCTCCTAGCAAACAGGCCAGGAATAGAGAATGCAGGTGTGGCAGTCCTCCCGGTTAGCACTTAGCCGAGTCTCTCCCTTTGAATGAGAACCCTTTCTACAATCTGAGCAAATTTCACATGGAAAAAATAAGTAGTGATAGTGTAAACTATTCTGATGGTGGCTTAGAGAATTTTTTTTTTTAAAGAAAGAGGTGGTCACCAGTGGCTCACGCCTGTAATCCTAGTTTCACAGGAGGCTGAGATCCAAGGATCACGGTTCAAAGCCAGCCTGGCAGTGGTAGAGCACAATTTTGAGCACAAAAACTCAGAGACAGTAGTATTGAGGCCCTGAGTTCAAACCCCAAGATTGTCAGGAAATAAAAAATAAAAATAAAAAAAAGAATTCAAAGAAACCAAGAGGGGCTATATTAGCTGAACATAGTAATTATAACAACATTCCTCCATTTTTTCCAATAGGATAGTAAAATACAGAAAGAAAGTGGTCTCCAGCTTATTTGTTATTTGTTTGTTTATTGCTAATACTGGAGCTCCATTTCAAGGCCTGGGTGCTGTCCCTTAGATTCTTCCTTCAAGTTCAGTGCTCTATCACTTGAGCCACAGCTCTACTTCTGACTTTTTCGTGGCCTTTCCTGCCCTGGCTGGTTTCAAACTATGATCTTCAGAGCTCAGCTTCCTGAGTACTTGGGATCATAGGCATAAGCCACCAGTGTTGGCTTTCTAGTTTATTTTTTAAAGAATTTAAAGGTCAGAGAAACAGAACCATCTGGCTCATCTACCTTCCTGGAAGACAGGCAAATTAGCTGAAAATAACCAAAAATGAAGATGCTTTTCAAAGCCTGGCATTGGCCTTACAGAAAAAGATAAAAGTTACAATAACACATATGTTGTGTTTGTGTCACATTGTCCTTGTTCATAAAGCACAATCACAGTGATTATCTCATGGCAACCCAATGAAAACCTTATTAGGTAGGTAGGCACAGCAAACTTTGCTAATCTCGTTTTACACACGAGGGGGTAGACATGCAGTCATTTCATCTTATTTGTGTGTGTGTGTGTGTGTATGTGTGTTGCTGGAGATCAAACCTCTGTATGCTGGACTGAGCCAGAAGTACAAAGACCTTAAACAACCTTGGACAGAGCTCAGTTTTCTAGACCAACACATCAGGCTCTTAGCCCTCAGCTGGTTTTCATGGTTTCTAGTGCTAAGCTGAGGTCTCTGGAGTACTAGACTCCTTTCTAGTACTACAGTAGACAGAGTACTAAAGACTTTGTACTAATAAGTAAGTGCCAAATGCATACCTTTATTGCAAAAGAAGTACATATAAGGACTTTAAGATTTTTTTCTTTTATCATTATTACATAAAAGCAGCATAGGTTTTATATAAGAAATACCCAACAAACTGATGAAGGAGATAGAAAACAACTTAAATGCTTAGAAGCTTTTTAGTCTGACCTTAAGTTAGTTATTCTTAGAGTAGAAACAAGGGAAATTAAGCAGGTAATATGTAGAATAATTATAGAAGAATGTAGAATAACTGCACATCTGGATCATTATGTACTATTGTAAAGCAGCTGAATAGGAGAAGAAGGACAAAACAATGTTATAGAAATCAGTATCTTGTGAGAAAGTATCTAAATTTGTATAGTCTAAAACATGACTCATGGAGACATAATCAGTCTATAAATAACCCCCAGGCAGCCATATGTGATAAATAAAGCAAGGGAATTATTCACAATTTTACTTTCTGGTCATTTCTTTTTGTCCAGTTGTCATAGGAAGACAATGCTTTATACCTAAGCCTCTGAAACTACACATCATCCTCAGAAACTAAAACAGCCAAAGAGGATCTCGAGGATGGGGCATGTTGCCATAATTAGGTGGAGAGTTAAGAAGAAGAACCACATGAAGGCCTTCCAAGTTTCAAGTTAACCTGGACAGTCATATTGCTCAAGAGGGTCTTCTCATTTTTCCTTCAACCTTGATAAGAGAGAGCAAAATCAAACCCCGCAAAAGGTTGCAGTTTCGGGCCCAAAGTGGATGGAATACATGGAACATGAACAGTGAAATAGAACACCAAGTGTTCTGCTTTGAAATAAGGAGACTGCATGGTACCAAATCTCGCACAAAGTGTGCATGGTAATAAAGTCACAGCCAGTAGATAGGTCCCCATATCCAAATTGTCACTCCATTGTACAGTTACACTTTCCTCATCATGGTAAAGTAATCATATTTGCCTTGCTTAGTAAATTATATTTTAGGCACCAAAAGTATCTTTTACCCACCTCTACTAGAAATCTGTGGAAACACAAATTAATACTAATTATCATAATGACTTTTATGCTTTGAACTTAAAAATAACCATTTTCCACAAATATTTCATTCATATGATAGTTTAAAAAATGTTTAAAAAATGTTGAAAATGTCTCCACTTTAAATTTTTCTAGGTTTTTTTTTTTAATGAAACATCATACTTGACCAGGTATGGCAGAACATGCCTATAATCCAAGCTACTCAGGAGGGAGAAACTGGGAGGATTGTGGTTTGAGGCCAGCCTGGGCCAAAAGTTAGTGGAGGGAACCCTCCTCCCCGTCTCAACTAATAAGCCAGGCATATTGGTATGCATATAAACACACACACACACACACACACACACACACACACACACACACACACACACACACACACACACCTTTGGTCCCAGCTTTAAGTGAGTTAAAGGTAAAAGGCCAGCCAGGGTAAAAAAAAAAAAAAAAAACATAAAAAATAACTAGAGTAAAAAAGGGCTGAGGGTATGGCTCCAATGACAGGTTGCCTGCCCACCAAATATGAAGAAGCTCTTAGTTCAAATCCCGTGCCCTCAAAATGAAACAAAAATCAAAACCTCATGATCTCCCAAAGCTGCAAAATGTTTCAAAGGACCTATCAGGGTCCAGTTGTTGAGGTAGCCCAAACGATTTGAGTAACAGCAAAGATGACCTCTGTGGGCATAAACAGCCTCTGCAGAGCAGGGCTTAAAATATCAGGTCTCTAAATGCAGCCAGCTCCATTCAGCCACAGACCAACTTGAGCAGTGTGTTTTCCATGTGCCTTTCCAAACACAATTTTTCTAGCCTACTAGAAAAGCATCCACATTTGAATCTACAAGGCAGTGAATCTTTGTCAGGCAGTTGGTCCTTGTGAACCTAATAGCAAAGACCTTGAACTGTACCTCATTGGAGTCTTAGGATATTTATGTAAATTAGGCAACCATACCACCAATCACTGCATTGCACAGATTTTAAGCCAGTTTCATGAGATGTTGGTGGTTAGCTAGGAGGGACTTGTCCTGACCATGACTTACCAGCCACGTGAACTTAGCTCTAGATTGAGTCAACTAATGCTCAGCAGGTAGCATTTTATGAAACCACCCGAGGTTTGTTTTTAGATTCACAGCTCTTTAGAGCTTAGTGTTCTGAACAAAATAATCATCTTTTTCCAGAGGGTGGTGTATCAGGAACACTTTAATTGAAGTTGAGTCTTTTTAATTTAATTTAATTTTTCTTTTGGTTCCAATACTGTTTGTTGAAATCAAAGCCTAGCAGTCTCACTTAGCCTTCTTGGTCATGACTGAGTGCTACCACTTGAGCCATGCCTCCAGTTCAGCATTTTGCTAATCAGTTGGAGATAGACTCTTGATTACTTGTCTACTTGGGCTGGCTTCAGACTGAAATCCTTAGATCTCAGTCTCTTGAGTAACTATGATCATCGGCATGGGCCACCAGTACCCAGGTGAAACTGGGTCTTTGTGACAATATCATCTCAAAGAAACTATACATTTTTGCTTACTACAATAAAAAAAAAACTTACTTGACTTAGAATAAATGACTCTACCATGAAGGCAGGGCCTGTTGCATTCTTATTTACATATGCATGTGTGCATGCAAAGTATAGCATTTCCTCCATCACAAGTACGGTATTTATGAGAAATACAAGCCAGCACGCAGGTTCTATCTGCGCTAGCATCCTGGGAGGAGAAATCAGCAGAACTTCCACCTTGACACAATACTTTCTTGAATTGGTGGAACTTGCCAGGCCCGCAATATTAACATAGAATTATGGAAATTGGAAACAAAAGCTGGGTCTACTGGGAACGATAGGCTCGAGATGAACTCAACTGGAAAATTTGGCTAACTCAAAGTGACATCTTCTGTGCTGGAATTTTTCTATCTGAAAGCTTTGAAAAGATTGTAATTAATTTTGAGTTTGCAATTCATCCCTTTTCAAATTAAACCTTTTCTTTTCTTCAGGGTTCTCCATTCCCTTCAAGTGAACTTGACCAAGCACTGAAGTGGTAAATTCATATTGGGTTTTCTATGCAGATCCATTTCCAGAGAAGGCAACACAGGTTTTACATTTTTTATGCTTCCCCCACCCCCATACACCCAGGGAAAAGACAACACTCAGAAGGAAAATTTCATCTTGTGCACAGGCTCAAAATTCCTGAGGATGGTAAATTACCTCACAAGGAAAGGTTGACTCAGAGGAGGAGAATGATGGAGGAATATGACAGTAATTGAGATGCGTGGTACACATAAATGGACACATTAAATTGAAACTCCTTGGTCCAACTATTTGAAGATAATCAAAACATTGAAAAGGAAAAGAAAAAAACCAAAGCAAGATTAAAAGCAAAGCAAAATTGCTTTGCAAGTTAGTGCTTTTCCTCCAGGGTAAAACCATGGACTGTAAGAACTCAGATTTACCTTGTGGCGTTTGGGTCCCAAATCACAATGTCAGCATCTGACCCTACAGCGATCCTTCCTTTTCTTGGGTAAAGATTAAAGATTTTGGCTGCATTTGTACTGGTAACTGCCACAAAGCGGTTTTCATCCATTTTACCACTATGCTGTAAAACAATCCAAAAAACATATGTGGATTTTGATCATCAAAAACAAAACAAAACACGAGTTCTGCATCTCCTCAGGCAAATAAAACTCTACCTAACGTTTTCTACTGTGAAGCTACCACATCTGTGGATGCTAGCCAGCCTTAATCATAATGGCAAGGATGGAGATAATGGCTCACATATGGAAGCCTGACTTCTCAAAGCCTATCAGCTTAAAAACAACGCCAGTAATTTTTCCTCCATCTTTCCTGAACCGTCGTGTTAAGGTTCCTACAGATGAGTGCTAAAGGTTGGCCGTGATTATTTTCAGTCTTCATAGAAAGTTTGCTCTGCTAACTACTATTTTTATGATCTGGCTTACTTATTGCCAACCTAAGACTTATGAGATGATCATGTAAATATTAGGTAAAATGTTACAGTTAAAATAAGACTGGTGGTGAGGCTTTTAAAATCAGATGACAATGCCTTCAGAAAGATGAAAAAAATCTACTTAAGGGCTTCCATTTTATGTAACTGAAATTTACATGATCAACAATCAAGGACATTCTATTGCAAGAGATTTAATATGAAAACGATGATAAAGGGTTTATCTCTATGTATATTTATATGATAAGCATGATCCTAAGGTTTATTTAATTAGTCCTGCCTCAGAAATGATTAAAATCCATGTACTGGAAGTAGTGGTCCCAAAAGTAAATCATCTAAATGTTTCAGAAAATAACAGCAATTCCACGCATGTTATTAGGAACTCGCCAATCACTTTAAAGCCCTTTTTATTCTCAGGAACTATTCTAGGTTGTGGAAATGAAGATACTTATAATAATACCAGTTCAAGGACTATAATCAAGAAAATCTCAGTAGAGGGAAAAGAAGGGGAGTCATCTGGGATGGTTAAAGAATGGAGAGGGGGAGGAGCTAAAGAGGATGATCAATAGAAGCTAGAGTTAGAGATGTCCTGAAGATCCTTGTAGTAAATGAATGGTTCAAATACTGTCCTTTCAGTAATGGAGAAAATCAAAAGGATGACTAAAAGTAGTGTGAACACAACTTCATGTTGACTGGAATATAGGCTGGATGGTAGCAAACGGGGCCCAGAAAACAAGGACATACTGATGTGAGATGACTGGTATTGATCCAAGCAAAAAACAGAAACCTACAATCAGGTTGCCTGCATTCATGTGGAGGGAAGGAGATATTTTTGAATTGTGATTGACAGGACGTGGTAAGTAATGAGAATTAGAAGTGGGTAGTATACATAGGAGAAAAATAAACAATATTCTGCATTGTGAAAATAAGACTCATGTCATCTAAGACAGGGCTTCTGGGAGATGGGTTAAGAAGGGGACCTGAGATCTAGCCAGTCTCCTCCACCCATCTGTACAACTGCACATATCCATTAGCTTGACAAGTCAGCACATGGACACTTCATCATTTGATCCTTCTCCATCCTAGGGAGAACATTTTTTATTCATGGAATATTTTCTCCCTAGACTTTGAGAGTTATTATTCATGTCCCTTCATATAGCATTTAAAAAAAATAGATCTAAAATTTTTAAATAGGCCAGTTACAAAGGTCTCATGAAAAGGAGGTAATAAAGGTATGAAGGTAATAAACATTCTTCATGTGCTTTCCATCATCCCAAGTATCCACCATACAGAGACATTGGAGACATGGGATAAAGGAACGTGAGAAACAAAGCAGAAGAGCCACATATGTCAGAAACTTCCAGAATAACACTCTGGACCCACTCTAGACATTTAAAAATAGTGTATCTTCTGAGCTGAACCAAGCAAAGAAGAGAATTGTTTGCAGATGCTGTCTTGGTGGGATGGAGTTAGATTCCCAGATTCCACTAGAGTAAAAAACAATCAGAGGGGGGAGGCTGGGAAGGGATGTGAAGGGTAAACAAAGGAGGAGGCTGCAATGCTTGGTAAGAAATGTATGCATTATCCTGCCCATGTAATTG